TAAAAAAAATATCACAAAATAATACAAAATCTATATTAATATCATTATTGGCTTCATCTGGCGGACATATATAGCTAGATCGACTCAGCTCGGCGAGATAGGAAGATCCATATATACTTTCCAATGCGGAAAACCAATATTTCGAGGTGTTACATAATGTTTAACCCAATCAAACTTATAATACCCCCAACACATAGTGTAGTAGGGTATAAAAACAGAATCCGTTGGAGTTGGAGTTTAAAATCTTAAAAATTCCGAATATAGGGAAGTAACGTTATTCTGGGGTCTATACGAAGACAGACTGTAGTGCCCATTATGCACCTCAATTTTGAAACATATCCCATGAATAATGTCGCTTAAATCATAAAAATACCGAATATAAGGAGGTTCCGTTACATTGGGGCAATACGATGACTTGGGCCTGCATATACAATTTTCCGGCATAGACTGGACCCATTACGAACTTAAAATACCGTGAAAAATTAAAAACTAAAAGTTAAAATCATACAAATACCCAATATGGGGAGGTACCATTTTATGGGGGCTATATGAAGATCTGGACCTGCAAAAACCATTTTCTGTCACAGGTTGTAGCACCTAATACGAACTTTAAATACGAAAGTTAAAGTAATGCTGCCGAATAATGTCACTAAAATCATTAAAATACTGGATATAGGGAGGTACCATTATATATGGGCTGTATAAAGACGTGGACTCTGCAATTTTCTGTTATGATCTGCAATACCCATTAGGAACTTCCAATACAATTCCGGTAAACAATGTCGCTAAAGTCATCAAAATACCGAATTTTTGGAGGTACATATATATGGGGGCTATAACTAAACGTGGATTTTATAGCCTAGTTATCAGCCTATTTAAGTTTCATCGGAAGCTAGAGTGATTATATATTTCGAGGTGTTACAAACGAAATGACAAACTTAATATAACCATACCATAGTACCCGACACCATAGTTCCTGGCTTTTCACGAATCGTTTACCCTATAGATCCTATAGAATCCTCGATTGCCTATGTTTACGCGCGTATTAATAAAAGATGTTGCCGGCTTGGATGTTGGTTGAGTACTAATTTTATTTAAAAAATATTGTCCTTAAGAGCTACATATGTTATTCGAACTTAGCCTAATGCAACCTAATAATAATTCTTATCTCTTCTTTCTTAATCCAGTGATCTTCTCTACCTACTGTGTGCATAGATAAGTGCGTGCGTGGGTCACAACCTTTATTATCATAAAACTTATCGTATGCACCAGTGTACATGATCAATGAAGGTTACACATATGGATTTAATGGCTGGGAAACTCACATATGGATTTAATGGCTGGGAAACTCACATATGGATTTAATGACTTCTTGGAAATTGATAACATTGAAAATTCTATCTTAAGTACATAAAATTCATAGCAAATAAGCAATAACATTTATGACAGATCTACATTACAATTTATTATCTAAGACACTTAATTATTTTATTACTTCTTCTAAGCTAGACAAGATAAAAGAAAGATTCATGTTCATATTTTTATGAACATTCTCCCGGCCGGCAGATACTTTATTTAAACATTCGGCCTTCCTTGGAACTGAATTGCTGCTATCCGTCTCCTTATTATAATTTTCCTTATAAACTGAGTTAGCAATATTATAACTACTATGGTAACTAAAATAAATGACATGTGACCAGACCAATTATGAAATTCTAAACCTCTTAAATTTAGTTTCTGCTTCTTCAAATCGTCCACGAGCGTCTTTAGCTGGCTGATCTCATTGTGATGTTTCACCAATACGTTTCCAAGGGGTTTTATGGCTTCTTTGTCGGCTTCACTGACGTCCTTTAAAAGAATAGAGTGAAATTGAGTTGACATTTCATTTCTTACCCGATGGACCGCCACTAGAGTCACTTTGTCAATTCTAGCCGTGCAATCTGTATCAAGGGCTAGAATACCTTGTTGTGGAAGTTCTATGATGGATTGCTGCTTTTCGGAACACTTAATATGGGCCGTTGCATTCTTAAACGTCTTAAAAAGCCAATTTCCCTTTTGCCTCAGCTGTATCCAATAGGGACTGTTTTCAACTTCATCGTACGTGCAGTTTATCTCGATGCGCGGCCTCAGGGGTGACAGTTCGCAATTGTTGGTCGACGCATCTCGCCAGGGAAAATTTTCTTCGCATACAATCTCATCTCCCAATGTGTTTTTACATTCGTTCAACATGACTTGTGTCAGATAGTGGAACGAATCCAATTCAAAATTGTACACGATGTATGGCGACCTTATCCTTGCTATCAATACCGCACCGTCATGTTCAAATGGAATCGGGATTACTCTATAGAACTGCGATGACTGTCTGTTGAAAAGAGGTATCTTCAAGTCGATCACCAATTGTGTGCCGATATACATTCCACGTCCCCTCATCAAATGTAAAACCTCCTTAAGTTCTGTACCAGAAGATTTTCCGGGTAAAACATATTTCGTGGGCAGCTCATTTCGAATTTTAAATATTTCCGACTGCAATTTCTCCGGACTTATGAGCACAGGGTGTATATGACCATTATTAATGTCCAGTAACAGGTTAATGACTTCCTTTAGCACCTCGTCACATTCGTCTATGTATTCATGGATTTCTTTAGTTATAATAAAGAAACGAATAGATTCTCTATAAACGAAGTAATTTTCGTTCATGGTGGCGGTTATGTTATCAATTTTGCACTTTATCTCCACAAAGTGCGAATTGACTTCCTCCGTTGTTCTTTTTAGCAGATTGACCGTGGAATCAACTATCGATGTCTGCTTTTTTGACAATTCTTTTAAGTCGTACTGGTTGGCTAACAGATTTCTCATATTATTTTCCATCGCCACACGATCATCGTCGTCCATCACACCAAATGCCCAATGTTGAAAAGACCCTATGAACTTCAATGGGGCTCCTCTTCTTTGCCGTTTATCATCCCTCATGAAAAGCCGATTATTCGCCTTGATTTTGTTTACTTTATATTCCATATTGTTTATTACCGACCAGCACTGGTCTTCAAATGTTTGGAGCCTTGGACATATTTCTTTAGAGGCGTTGAGCAATGTGGATGCAAGATCCAGTGTTTCTAAGTACGTTTTCATTTCAAAATATACAATCATGTTCCATGAAGACGAGGCCATGTGGATTTGAGAGATTGGATCAAGATATATTGCCGTCGAACTATTTAATTCTTTTACTGATGAGGCCTTAGTCGTCATAATCAGACAAAGATTTATCATCATAGTCCATATCACAAAGGAATTTGCTGTTAATCTTGGTAACTTCTTTGTTGAGTTCACTTCGACCTCCTTTTTCTGCGTATCTTCTACCTTTTCCTCTTCAGGTCTCTCATCTTCGTGCTCTAATGGGCATAATTTATGTACTGGTCTTTTTATTTCTCCATTTTGTGTTTTCAACGTTACTACTCTCACTATTCCATCTTTGCCCGGTTGTACCTCAGTCACTCTCGCCAATGGCCAACGAGCTGGGTGAGTCTCTTCATTTCTGATCAGCACGATCTGTCCCACTTCCAGATTGCGATCTTCTTTTCTCCATTTTGGGCGATTTTGCAAAGTAGTCAAATATTCTTCTTTCCACTTTCTCCAAAAGTGGGTTTTTATTCGTAGCAGCAGTTTCCACCTGCTCACACATGCTAAACTTCCTTCATCGATCTTCGCCGGAGCTTCTAATAAAGGGCGTCCAACTATGAAATGCCCTGGCGTTAAGGTGTCGATATAGTCTGTGCCGCTTCCAAGATCATGCAACGGCCTTGAGTTTAAAACTGCTTCAATTTGAGCTAGAACCGTGCTTATCTCTTCATACGTTAATTTTATCTCGCCAATGATTCTTTTAAGATGGTATTTCATTGACTTAACTGCAGCTTCCCAAATTCCTCCGAAGTGAGGAGCTGCCGGGGGGATAAAATGCCATTTTATTTGTTCATTCTCCAGAATTGGCGCTAACGTATTGTTGCTTTTTATCGCCTCTATATAATCTTTATCTAGCTGCCTTGATGCCCCGACAAAGTTCGTTCCGTTGTCGGAATATAAATCGCTTGATTTTCCTCTCCTTGCGAAGAATCTTCTCAGCGCTGCTAAAAATGCTTCTGCCGTAAGCTCGCTAACTGCCTCTAAATGCACCGCTTTCGTCACCATGCACACAAATACTGCTACGTAACCCTTCATAGACTTGGTTCCTCTCGTTTTCGAACATCGTATTTGAAACGGACCCGCGTAGTCTATTCCGCAATGTTTAAAGGGTTGACTTATATTCACTCTACTCATTGGTAGATTTCCCATTAACTGATTTCGTACTTCTCCCCTATAGCGCGTACATCGTGGACAGCACCTGACGCAGAGTTTTATTCTATTTTTGGCTCCGATTATCCAATATTTGCGCCTTAAAACATTTTCCATCAGCCGATTTCCTCCATGCAATGTTTCCATATGAGCTCTCCTTATAATATTCGCAGCTAATCGTGATTTTTGAATCAGTATTGGATGTTTTTCGTTATAGGTTAGCTCTGACCAACCCAGTCTTCCTCCTACTCGCATAACCCCATATTCGTCGAGCTGCGGATGCAATGATGCTATATTGCTTCGATGATTTATTGCTCCTGAAGTTTTTAGCTGACTAATTTCCGCCGGCCATTCAATTTCTTGGTGCATTTTGATTAAAGCAATTTCGGCCTCTTCTATTTCTTCCGCAGTTAAGTGCTCACCTTTTACCTTATTTCCTCTCAGTTTTTTAATAAATCGTAGAATATAAGCCATGACTCGTAACTGCTTTTTAAATGATGACAACTTCATAAGTTGGTCATAGACGCTTTTTTCTACTGCCGCAATTTTTGTCGTTGCTGCCACTACTGTCGGATTTAACTTGGGCCATTCATTTTCATTTTTTATCAGCCATTCCGGCCCTTTCCACCATAATTGACAGTTGGCCAAAATCTCAGGAGCAACGCCTCTGGAGCCTAAGTCAGCTGGATTTTCTTTTGATCTTTTCTCTTCGCAGCCACGATTGCAATTTGAGAATCCACTTTTAGATAAACTACTGCCGCATATGCCTTTTCGGACGCATCAGCAAACCCGTGTAGCTCTACTCCACTGACTGGTGCTATTTGAAACCATCTTGGTATCTTCACGTTCTTTATTACGTGGAGACTATACGCAAATTTCTTCCAGTCATCACTCAATTTTCCATCCAACGGTATATCCCAATCTAATTGCTGGATCCATAACTGCTGAATAAATAGTTTTGCTGTTATGGTTACTGGTGTCAGCCAACCCAGTGGATCAAATATTTTCGCTAGACTTGATAACGCCATTCGTTTGGTCACCTTGTCTTCCTGTTTTACTTCCATACTGAATGTAAAGCAATCCATCAGTGGACTCCATTGCAATCCTAGCGTTTTCAAGCAGTTATCTTCTTGAATTTGCAATACTTCATTTTCTTCAGCCCGATTTACAGCTCTCAATATATCCGAAGAATTTGCTATCCATTTTCTTAAATGGAACCCATACATTTCCAGTTGTTGAGCTATATTCTCTTGTACTTCCATACATTCTAGTTTTGAATTCGCTCCTGTAAGTAAATCGTCCATGTATAAATCTTCTTTTATTCTTTTGGCTATATCTTGATTCTCGCATCGATTTGCAATTTCTATCAGCGTCCTTACAGCCAAAAACGGTGCTGATGCGGTGCCATATGTCACTGTGGTGAGTTTGAATTGTTGCACTGGCTCGCTCTTGTTATTTCTCCACAGGACATATTGGTATTCTTGATCTTCTTTGTCTATGTTTATTTGTCTAAACATTTTTTCTACATCGGCTGATATGACAAATCTCCAAGTTCTCCATTTGGTAATAATATCAAATATGTCCTTTTGCAACTTTGGACCTGTATGCATAATGTCATTCAGCGACTTTCCATTTGATGTTTTCGACGATGCATCAAACACCACTCTTACTTTTGTGGTTAAGCTGGTTTCACGTATCACTGCTTGATGCGGCATATAATATTTTCCTTGTTTTCTCTCTTCTACTTTCACCATGTGTTTAGTTGTAATTAGATCATCTATTGTTTTTATGTATTCTGCTTTCAATTTCGGACATCCTTCTAATCTTTTCTCTAGACTTAAAAATCTCGCCATTGCTCTTTTATATGATTCTCCCAAACGTCTGTCTTCAGCAAATGGCAATCGCACTACAAATCTTCCCGCTTGATCGACTCGTGTTGTTTCCTCATATAGTTTTAGACAGTAATCATCTTCTGCTATCGTTTCTTCATCTTCAATCTCTTCTATTTCCCAAAACCGTTCTATTGTCGTCGTCGCAGCTGATCTCACGTTATTTCCTCCGGATTTCATCTGAATTATTCCGGAAAGAATCCATCCTAGTTTTGTATTTTGTGCCACTATCTTCTCTTCATGGCGAACACCTTCTTCCAATATTTGTTGGAAAATGTCCGCGCCAATTACCAGATCGATTCTTTCGGAATTATAAAAATTTGGATCTGCTAGAGTTATGTTTTTCCATTTCTCCAAGTCGTAATGGAAATTGTTGTCAGGATGAGCTGATGCTAATTTCGGCAAGACTAGTGCTTCCGTTATAATTTTATTGTTGCTGAAAAATCTCGGCCTTATCTTCAGCAATACTTTAGATTTCGCAACGCCCACCATGGTATCTCCTAGACCTCGTAATCTCACCTCAGTCCTTGATCTTGGTAATTGTAGCAACTGCGCCGCATCTTCGGATACAGAAGTTATCTGTGATCCTTGATCTATCAAGGCTCTTAAAGTGATATATTCTCCATACCAAGATTTGACTCGAACTTGAGCTGTAGCAAGAAGAACATTTGTTGTTGCATGTGTGGTCATGGATTTTGTGTTGCTTGTTTTTTCCAAGTGGACTAATGTGTTATGCTGTAATCCACACTTCTGGCATTTGGAATCACTCAGGCATCTTTTGTCTTTCGAGTGCTTAATACATCTGAGGCACATTTGGGCTGCTTTCACCCAACTAAATCTATCGTTTGCCGGTTGTGCCGCAAATTTTCTACAAGCCACAACTTCATGTCCAATCAGCTTACAAAACCTGCATTGCCTCTTTTCCAACCCTCCGGATTTATCTTGATTTTTATACGTTGCTGAAACAGCATATTTTTTGCTCGTTGATGCTTCCAAGGCCTGGTATTGCTGTTCTAAGAAGTCCATTACATCTTCAAGTTTTTGGATCTCCTTTGATTTTTTGACGTTCTGCTCATATTGAATGAGTCCATCTTTATCCAATTTCCTTATTATTATTCTGGCTATTATAGGGTCCGCATGTTCCAACGGTATACCCATTGCTCTCAACGCGTGTATGCTTTCGTTAACGCTATCTACCAAATTTCGTATGCTTGCTGCAGATAGACTGTTTATATTCGGGTGATCCAAAATTTTATCAATCAATTTCGTGAATAAAATTCGTTTGTTGTCATAGCGTTTTTCTAATAGTTCCCACGCTGCTTTGTAGTTTGCGTTGGTCACTTGCAAATGTTGCACCAAACGAAACGCCTCTCCTCTCAGATTAGTTTTGAGGTAGTATAACTTTTGTACCTCGGATAGTTGAGCGTTCCTATCAACCAATTTCTTAAATAAATCGTGGAAGGAACTCCATTCCTCCATATTTCCATTGAAACATGGAATCTGTATTCTTTTTAACTCCACTGCCTGAGATTCTTCTTTTAGGCCACCTATCTTTAAAATAATATTATTTATTTTCGTATTCATTTTCCTTTCAATATCTTCCAATTCATCATCCACTTCCTCCATTCCATGTTCTGTTGTTAATTCTAAATGTAGCCGTTTTATGTCGTCGAATTGCTTTTCCCATGAAACCTTCATATTTTCCAGAGCATATTTACTTACTCCTGAAATATCTTCTTCTATGGAGTCTGAAAGCTTCAGGATCTTTCTTCTGAATTGGGAAAGCACTGCATTTTTCTTATCACTGCTAGCATGAGTGGTTACAATGGTTAGTTTTCCATCTCCTTCTTCGCCTCCTTTATTATTTCCATATGGATGTTGAAACTGCAGCATCTGCCTCATTTGCTCTTGTATAGATTTCTGCATTTGTTCCTGTTGTATCTTCATTTGCTCTTGTTGTTTTTGCCATTGTTCCTGCTGCAATTTGAACTGGCTTAGCATACTCTCCTGTAACGCTCGAAATTGTTGCTCCATTGCCTCATTGTTATTCTCGGTGTTCTTTACTGCCCCAAGATTTTCGAGCGCTTCTACTTTCCGACGGCCCTGTTCCACTATTCCCATCTCTGGCTTTTCGGGTTCATCTTTAATTTTTTGTATTAGCTCCTTGCATTCTTTGTAATAGCTCTCAATTCTGCCCCATATGTTCTCTTTAAAATATGGCTCATCTTTTTGTTCATATAATTCTAATTTCGCTTGATTTGTCCTAGCTTCCTGCATTTTGTTCTCCAGCGACTTTGAATTTGCTTCTAAAGCAACCTTCCTAGTCGTTCCCGATTTCAGCTTCTCTGAAATCTCTAATATTTCCTTGAGGATTTGATTTTGGGTTTTATATAAGGTATATCTTTCTGCTGACATTTTTATTTGCTTCTTTGGATTAATAATTGGTTTACTTTAATATTTGCCTTTAGGCCTCTCGGTTTTCTTAAATTTATTTCGTCTTAAAGTCTTTTTGACTAATTTCTCTTTCTACAGTTTATTATTCTTTAATAGTTTTACCTTTATTGATTTAAGCTCTTCTGTTTCCAATTTTCCGCTATATTCTGTATATATTCTAATTTCTTAGCCTCTTTGGCTTTTTAATTTTATGATTTTTTTTTTACTATAATATTTTTTTTTCTATTGGATAATATCCTTGTTTCTTAATTCGTCACTATTTTCTGTTTTTTTTTTTTTTGTATAATATTCTTTTCACTGTAACTTTCACAATTATTTTTTCAAATAGAATTCTTTCTTAAATTATATATATATATTTTTTTTTTGACAATATTCTTTTCAATGTGGCTTTCACAATTATTTTTTCAAATAGAATTCTTTCTTAAATTAGATTTTTTTTGATGTGCACACTTTTCCGGTCACTGATTCTTTTTTCTCTTTCGAAGGTCCACTGTTTACGCGCGTATTAATAAAAGATGTTGCCGGCTTGGATGTTGGTTGAGTACTAATTTTATTTAAAAAATATTGTCCTTAAGAGCTACATATGTTATTCGAACTTAGCCTAATGCAACCTAATAATAATTCTTATCTCTTCTTTCTTAATCCAGTGATCTTCTCTACCTACTGTGTGCATAGAAAAGTGCGTGCGTGGGTCACAACCTTTATTATCATAAAACTTATCGTATGCACCAGTGTACATGATCAATGAAGGTTACACATATGGATTTAATGGCTGGGAAACTCACATATGGATTTAATGGCTGGGAAACTCACATATGGATTTAATGACTTCTTGGAAATTGATAACATTGAAAATTCTATCTTAAGTACATAAAATTCATAGCAAATAAGCAATAACATTTATGACAGATCTACATTACAATTTATTATCTAAGACACTTAATTATTTTATTACTTCTTCTAAGCTAGACAAGATAAAAGAAAGATTCATGTTCATATTTTTATGAACAGCCTACGTGATATCGTTAATGTTAAATTCCCAATTATAATTTCAACAACACTGCTTTGAATTCCCGAACATCTCCGAAGTCCATTCGCCATCCCATATCCCAAATTCATCTTATCATGTTTCTACATGAGTAGATTGTAATTTGTTTTAGTAAAAATCAATAAAACGTCCGATTTTTACCTCCAGGAACGGGATAAATCTACACTTCTTATTTCAAAACGTTAAGTGGGTCCTTATGGAGATCCTGTGAGAGAAAACCACGTTACATTTTATACCAAATATTACATATCTAACACTATGCCTTCCTCAAATACCAAATTCAGTATTTTTCATGTTCTTAGTACGTTTACAAATAGCCACCCGCAAATCTCAAACCTACACACTAACAGGGAACCTTATGCCGAATTTCAAAGTTATTAAGCACAATAAGGTACTTTTCCTGTTCTTGTTTTTCGAATTTTCAAAAAAGGTTTATTTAAAAAAACCTTTGGTACATCTATCCTACATCCTCTTTGGATGTGCGTTTGTGGATTTCTTATGATTGTTCTTGCTCAAATTCAACGAAGTTTCAACAGAACAATATCTTCCGTCACACCACAATAGACACTTAGATTCTAGTTCAGCTTTTCATGTAATTTCTTTCAAAATAAATAAATTGCAAATTTCATTTCGTCCCAAAGGAGAAAAAACATATATTTAACCTATGTTTGTTTTAAATCTATCCCATGTCTCAAGTTTTAAGATAGGATCTCGTTGCCACACCTTTTTCTATGCCATTATTTCTTTCTCTAATGGATGACCCATATTGGATTTGAAATATTATTCGGATTTCCGTTTTTTAAATTATTTAAAACCTGATTTTTTTCAGATTTCAAAGCATAAACCAACTGCAGCAACTCATTAACATACTAAATCACAATTATTATTACCGAACTAGTTTTTGATATTAATAATAAGAACAACTACAAAACTTCTTCATATAAATGCATGCTGCAATCCTAAGCAAGTCAGTTAAGTTCTGGAGACATAATCAAACTAAACCCTAGATCAAAATGAAATTCACTGTGAGTATTCGTTGTCCTCCTTAAATATGAAACTAACAACACAAAATATTTTCTAGATTGTTCTCCTTGCCTGCCTTTTCGCTATTGCTTTCGCCAATGAGGAAGCCGATGTCATCAAAGAATTCCGTGAAGTTAACAAGGAAGATTTCAAATATGGCTACGAATTGACCAACAAAATCCGTGCCTTCCAAGAAGGTCATTTGGAGGGTGAGAAGACCTGGTTGGTCAAGGGTGAATACGAATTCGTCACCAAGGATGGCAAACACGTCAAAGTGACTTACACCGCCGACGACTACGGTTATCATCCCAAAGTAGAACATTCTGAATAATATAGTTCAATTTCGCTTTAGTTATATAAATATTTAATTGTTATTATATAACAAATAAAAAATAGAACAGTGTTTGGCTTGCTTGTTTGGGATACCATAGTATTTTGTTGTTGCAAAAATCGTCAGGCAAAATCCCATTATTGTTGTTTTTATAAAAACAACGTTTGTTTATGAGTGGAGAACGATAGTAATGTTTACCAGGGGGTAACGCAGGGAATACCTAGGTTTCGGAAAGAGCCACCAATCCTCATCAGTTCCCTATTCTCCCCAGAAGTTATTTTAAAAAAATAACTTCTATGACAAAAAACATTTTTTACCCATGTGACGAGATCGTAAGCTCAATAGAAGAGGAACAAAAGAATTATATAAAACTAAAATTCTTTTGGAAAATCTTCTAAATCTTACAATCGCACTTATAAACATTTACATCTTTCTCCACTTGTTATGCTTTCGTTCCACCTGAACGAAGTAACATAACCATGTAAGTTTGTTTTGTCTGTTACAACAAAAACCCCTTCGTCGACCGTGCCTGTGTCTATTAATAGAACAGTGTTTGGCTTGCTTGTTTGGGATACCATAGTATTTTGTTGTTGCAAAAATCGTCAGGCAAAATCCCATTATTGTTGTTTTTATAAAAACAACGTTTGTTTATGAGTTGAGAACGATAGTAATGTTTACCAGGGGGTAAGGCAGGGAATACCTAGGTTTCGGAAAGAGCCACCAATCCTCATCAATTCCCTATTCTCTTGCCTGACGATTTTTGCAACAACAAAATACTATGGTATCCCAAACAAGCAAGCCATTGTAAAAAAAATGATTATTCAGCATTTCGGAGACAACGCCACACTTTCCAGATAATGCCAACCGAGAGGGTGTTAGTAGTCTTGGGAAACCTGTAACATTTGCCGGTAAACAATTAAAAATATTATATTACTAGCTGGCCCGGTCCGCGTTGCCGGCCCGTAGTTTTTGTTTATTATGCATATTTTTAAAAGCATAATTATTCACAGATATGACTGATATAACTGTTCACGTACTGGTAGATTAAAAGTGTTTTAAAATATCTGTACCCATTTATAAGCCGTGGACTTCAATGTTTAAACCGTGTGCTTCAAATGTGTGGATGTGCTATACAAATCTATTAAAATGTGTATATGAATCTTATCCCCATGTAAGGGATCAAATTAATTTTTAGTATGGTTAAAATCGTAGCAAAATTTTACAGTCAAATGAGAAGCAATTTGGAATTTACTGTATTTTGTACACCTCATAATTGAGGGCTAAATGATTTAAGAATAGGCAAAGTAAATTACTTTTTTAACCCCATTAGCACCTTGGATTGTGCATTAGAGTCCTCATAAGTCCCCCTAACCATGTCGGTCTGTTTGTCCGCCAAAAGGTGGACTTGAGGGGATACTATTGCATGGAGAAAATTCTAAAATTTGTGAATATGTTGACATTTTTGTGTAAGATTTTTACCCCCCGAATACACATTTTTAGCCAAATCCTTTGAAATATGGTAAAATCAGGAGGTACATTTATATAGGCACTACTCCGAAACATCGACCTACTTTGAAAACTTTCTTCTACCCCTTATAATCCAATATGGCAAATAGAGGCCAACTCAAAATTATAGGTATTTCACACCCATTACCGTAAGATGGGAATTTTTTTATTTTCCATTTAAATTGTAAATTGGAGACCCCATAAAGTCCATATTTTTCATCATAGTATAATTCAATGTCGATTCAACAAATATTCGGTCCCGTACTACTTTCTTATATTTGTAATTTGTTCATGTTCCCACAATTTATTTCATATAGATGTACATTCCAAATCTACGTTCCCAACCAATATTCTCTTGTGAGTTGCAAATTCAATAGAATACAAAATTTTCCTTTCTGACCACACATTAGGTGTGAAAGTGGAATTGGGGATACTCCAATGTGGAGACTTTACTTAAATAATTCCTATGTGGCAATTATCTGTATGATGATTCCCTTCCCCAGGGTAGCATAACAAATTTGTTTAGCCAAATCAATTGATGAATGTGTTCAAGACCAATATGGGCCCTACTCTAAAAATTTCAAATTTTATGCGAAGAGGTTCTGTACCCCCTTAGACACAAAGATGCCTAATAAGGGCCAAAAAATAAAAAGGGACTAAGACCCCAAAAATAGCTTGAATCATACGATGGTTATCTATATATATAAAAGGAAGTTGTGTTAGTTACTACGCTTATAACTTAAGAACCGCTGGACAGATTTTAACGATTCAAACAAATTCGGAATTGTCTCTTTTCCGAAAAGGATAATATCCCAAAAAATCGCGTAAAAATGTGATATATTAACATTTTCATTTTGACTTTTGAATTGTACAATAGTAATGTTTTATTTTGCATGATTTTTTTCAATTTTGACTTACTTTTTTCTAATGTACATTTGTAGTGTTTTTTATATTTCATTTTTGAATTCGAATATTAATACAAATAAATTGATATTGACTTGATTTCTTGAGAACTGAAATTGATGGCGGGTTACATGGAAGTGTAGTACCGAA